ATCCGTCCATCCATCCATCCGTCCATCCAATCCGTCCATCCATCCGTCTGTCCGTCCATCCGTCCATCCGTCCATCCATCCATCCGTCCATCCATCCATCCGTCCATCCAATCCGTCCATCCATCCGTCTGTCCGTCCATCCGTCCATCCGTCCATCCATCCATCCGACATTTGACAGTACCATCCATCTATCCGTCCATCCGTCCATCCGTCCATCCGTCCGTCCATCTATCTTTGGATTGTTGGTTCTGTGTGTCTGATGGAGCAGTGGATGTGTGGAGGGCTTTTCCAGGTGAAGATAAGCCCGTGTGTGTGTTCGTGGAGGCCTCTCAAATGAAACGTCTAGTTAGTTTGTGTTGGTTAGTTAGTTAGTGGGATGTTTCCGTGTTTGGTGGAGCTTCATGAGCTAAATCCTGCCGGATCTGAGATGATCCAGTCTTGAGCTTCGGTGGAAGAAAACACGTCTGACCCATTCATGTGTTTATTGATTAGTGGGCTATTAATAATGCAGAGACCCTTAAAATCCCAGGTTTTCAGTGTGTTTTCAAACTCTTGAATGTAATAATACTAATGTGATAATATCTCCTAAACTCACTGAAGTGTGGTGAAACAGGCAGATTTCAGACACTAACTGTAGTGATGCTCTTGTTTACAGCCATTAATAAAGAAACAGCTAGTCACCTGTGCGTTATTATTGCATACGCGTCTGCTGATGCTCATGGTAATGTGTGAGTTCTCTCGGTCTGCATCAGCACATGTAAAGGTGTGTGACCAGTCGTCTCTTCAAGGACTGCCAAACAGTTAGCATGAACTGAATTGACCTCTCCGAGTCTCCGGGATCCTTTAGCATCACAGTGTTGAAGGCTTTGCTTCAGAAATCCTTTAAGTCTTCAGCTCTCTAATTAACAGCCTCAGGTAATGAGCCATTGAAGACAGACGTGATCATTCTTCAGTGCGATGGACTGGCTGTCAGTTGCATGCTCTGTTTTTCTCTGTCAGTACGTTTTAACACTTGATGATTTGAATGTAACATTGATATCAAAAGAACTTCTGTGGCAGGAGCTCTTTTATTCTCATCTAGCACTTTATTCTGCTCGTACAGTGGACAGTCCAGGTCTCTCATCTCTGGTTTCCTAGTCTTTTCCTAGTTTTTTCAAGGGCTGCTTTAAAACTTTATTTAATTCACTTTTAATGCGTATTAACGTCATTTAGTGTGAGAATGTTTCTGATATGATAGCAGCCTCTCAGACACATGACTTCTCATGACCCAAGTATCTGTGCATCATGTTTGTGTTAGACGGCTTCTGTCCTCTCACATCCATTTAGAGCCACAGAGCCACATGGTTTCAGACAGTTTTGCCACCGAGGCACCGTTATATGTTTGGAAAGCAGTATTTCTGCACTGGGTGTTATGATTTATGATTCATGATACAGTGTTGTGATTGTGTTCGTATCTGCGGTCCCATCGTTTCTCAAAGGCTGTTTGCGTGAATGTCTTTGGGAGCCATTGGCAGCACAAACACAGCAGTTTTGGCTAATTATGTGCTTTCATTCTGCTCGCTCAGCTTTGTGGAGTGTTTGCATTAGATTGGTATGTGAATGTTAATCGGGTCCTTGAGGAATCATTATGATATAATATTTATCTAGTGCTGTCTTGTTTTAAAGGGCTAGATCATCCAAAAATAAAGAGTCAAACTCCAAACTATATAAAAAGTACAATAAAGCAGTACTTTTAGGATAGCTTTGTGTGACTAAAATGTAACTTATTTACAGATAATCATGAGTTAGTGGTAAAAGTGTCCCACGATAAAGAACATCTTTGCAAAATGCCATTTTAAGCACATGTAAAGTTCTTTAAAAATGTACTCTTTGTATTTGTCGTGTTGGTTTCATATTCAAAATCCAGACTTTTTTCCAAACATTTGAGAGCTGTAGCTAGTTCTTTTGAGTTCTGCAGATTTGGTGTGTGGGAGTATTAAAACATACAGATCATGCAATCATAAAATTACTATTGTTTTACATTAATAAGTACAGTTACTTAAATATTGCATGCTCATTTCTTGTTTATTTCATGTTTATACACATTTGACAGTAAAGCACTTTAAGCTTGAGTTGGGAAGCATACCAAATGTACTTTTATTAACAACGGTAACATGTGCAAAATCTAATTCTTATATAGAAACTTTATATATTCCACTCAAATGTACCATTATACTTCTATAGTATTATATGGAACTGACCAACTTCAGTGATTATGTGTTATTTAGTAGCAAATTGAAGAAAAGGTTTTTAGTTTTTTTTCACTTTGTGAATTTTCTTACTTCATACACAACAACAGTGTAAAACTCGGACAAAATTAGATTTCTTGATGATTTGATATTTTATAATAGTGATTTTATCATTTCAAAATACTAAGCTACAAAATGTAGACATGAATGACTAATAAGCCAATAAGTGCTCCTTTGCTGCCATCTACTGGTTATAATGGTATATAATGTATTTTTTTATTTTACGTAAGCGTTTGGTTACCACAAAGTACATTTTGGTCATCCCATTAAAAATAACATTCAAAGTGGATCATTTTAGAGCTTTAAAGTGCTGGAAATAGTTGTGTGAAATGCTTGAAAGTCGTTGAAAAGTGTTTGACTTTCTCTCTCAAAAGGTTGTTCAAACCCTGAAATGAATAATGTAATAACATGCGACTATTATGAGTTGAACAACACGGTGCAACCACACACAAACTTTAGTCTGGAGCCCTGCCCATGGCTCCTGATGATATATGAAGCGAAACGATCAGTCTGTGCAAGAAAACGAGCATTATTTACAGCATTATTACCTGTAATCCAGAGCCTCGGGCAAACAGTCCAAAGCCCATGAACTAATCATTCTTTTGAACCGATGCTTTTGAGTGAACTAGTTCATCAAATCGGACTGAAGCGTCTGAAACATTTCGCTGCTGGCAGTCACTCAGACTCGACATGAACCGATTGCTTGTGACGTCTGTCATTTGTAACTTCGGAAAATGAATTTGCTGAAGTCAATCTTACGGGTTTAGAATGACTTGATGGCAGATTTCCTTTAACAGTACGTGCGGAGAGGACCGTCAGCAGAAAGACACTTTCTTCACACTTGCATTTAGCTTCTGCGATTTAGGCTGTGCTTTCCCCAAATAATCATTCAACAAAGCAGCTTCCGCTCTTCTAAATACTGATGTGCAGTAATGTCATCAGCCAGTGTGGGTTGCTCTGAACAGAGCTGCTTGACTCTTGCACGTCTGGCGGTTGTGTTTTGCAGCCGTGTGAGAATGAAGCTTCTGTCACGTAGTTCCACGCTGACTGTTTCCTGTGCTTTGTGGCTGTATTTTAATGGTGCTCTTTCAGCTTCCTCGTCATGCCTAACGCTCAGTCCTTCAGTCAGTGAGATGATTCAGATTGTCTGCTTGCTTTGCCTGTTTGACGTTTCTAGAGAAAACGCAGCAGCTCCGAGTGAAACTCTGCATGTTTTCTGCTTGTGAACCGAAGCTGGGGTCACAGAGACTCCAGATGAACTCCAGACCGGCTCTGCTTCCGGCCGTCCCGTCGTTTTCCAGCAGATCACTTTCCCCTCTTCACAGCAGTGGATGGAAACGCTCAGTAATCGGAAACTGTGAGATCTCCTT